GCTCAATTTTAAAATTTGATATGAGCTTTGAAAACTGGAAATGTCATTAAACCTTATAATTCTTCCCTGTGTTTAAAAACAAAGGATTTTGTCTTTGGTCTCTAAGTATTGTTTGCCAGAAATATTTACAAAGGATAACGATAACATCCCCTGACTATATAATAGTTGTATTTTTTCCCCAATTATAAGAACAAGATGGACTCTCACTTATTGTTAGTTGTAATGAAAGTGCCAGACCCACTTTGGAAAATAATTTGGTCAATTCTTATCCATTTAGATCTTTATTTTCAATATGATACAGTAACTCTCCTTCTGTTAACTTGCACTAAGAAATGAGAACATGTGCCACACAAACACTCACATACAAATGATTGCAGCAGCTTTTTTATTGACAAACAAAAATGGAGAAAGAAATCAAATGATCATCATCTGGTGAAAAGATAAAGTGGAGTTATGGGATATACTGCTTAGCGATAGAAAGGAATATGAGACAGAGACCTCCAACAAGGAGGAATCTCAAGCATACAGGGCTGCGGAACCACTATTCTGACCTAGGCCACTTGAATATTTATGCCATCATTAGCAAGCCATGCTAGGTTGTCAATACAGGCAGATGGTTTGGGGTAGACAATGAGAAGCATGTCATGTCATGTACCAAGTGATTTCCCTGGACTGGATGTTCCCCATTTTGGCAATAATTCATATATAAAAGGCTACATACAAAATAATTCTAGTTATGTATATTGCAGAATGTGAAGAATCATGAGGCTAGACATCAAATTAGTGCTTGCCAGAGCTGAGGATAGTTAAAGAAAAAAAAAGATTAGTCCTAAAAGACATGTGAGAATTGTAGAGAGAGAGCAATGTTCCATAAACTGATTATGATATTGGTTATATGGCTATTTCAAGCCATCGTATTACACACCTAATACAGGTGAGATATGTTTTATTTAAACTATTCCAATAAAACCTTACTGAAAAAAAAACAAAAAGACATCATCATCAGTATAGAAGTTGCACAATATAGAAGGGCATAAAGAAGAATAGGAAATGTATCTTTAATCTCACCATTCAGATATTAACTACAGGTTTAGCATTTTAGGCTTAACATTTTAACATTTTTCTAGATTTTTCCATATGTACAGTAAGAGTTCATGTGATTGTGTTCTTTATTAAGAATATTTCTATGCAAAGGAGGAGGCAACAATGCTTGATAAGAAAAGCACTCATTACCTTGCCCATGTAATTGTTACCCCTCTTTATGGTATTTTCACAATAAAATTTGTTTGAAAAGGGGGAAAAAGAATATTTCTATGTCAATTATTTCTCAGCATAACTTTTTATGATGACCAATTCACATAAGTCTTAAATTGTTTAAGTATATTTGTTTTAAGCTTTGTTAAACATTTTTTGGCAATACTGGGGTTTGAACCCAGGGCTTCACTCATGCTAGACAAATGCTGACCCACACAGTAGCCCTTGGGCTTTGGTTTCTCCTTAGATAGGGTCATGCATTTTTTATTTATAGCCTCCATCCTTGGACCACATCCTCTCACCTGTACCTCCCAGTCAGCTGGGGTACAACCATTCACCAGCTCTTGTTAAACTCCTTTTCCCTTCATCTTTTATTTTTAAATACTTCCCTTATTCCAAGAATCTGCTTTCATACTAGTGAAAATGCATCTAGACAATAACCCTTGGTACCTAGTCATAGAACCTCTTAGTTATGGTGAAAAAAAAAGCCAAATTGTTGAAATGGAATTTAATATATTATTCTTATTCATCAGGGTTCTCTATTCTGATGTATTTCCACTCATGTCCATGATTGCATCAGAATTTTACCTGACAAATAGGAAAAATCTACAAGGACAGAATATTATATTGTTTTGCATAGCTTTTATAATGTATCTTTATAAGTAATCTTTTATTGACTGACTTCTTTTCTTAAGTGGAGAATCAGTTTTAAAAAAAAATTCTTGTGACTAGTTGGTTTCTAAGTATGTTTGTCCCAATTGTAATTTCTGTATTTGAATTATTTCTTAAAATGTAGTAGACCCACATGCTTCAAGGCCGAACATTCAAAGACTAACCTTGGTTCCAGTTGCCAATACTCGTTCATTGTATTCTTGTACCATTTCAACCCACTTCTGAAAGCAACATGTATGCAATGCTCACCCCTCTGTTTTCTGTCTTCAGGTAAACCATACGTTTTCATTCTATCTCTGCTAAGCCATCATAGGGAATGCTGTTACTACTGTCTAGTCCTCTTCATATACTGTCAGCAAGATGCACACAAACTTGCCTGTGGTATTGCTGCTTTGGGTATCACTTTTCACCTTCACTTGCATATGACCCAGCTGCCTGGCAATGTGCAAAGGGAGACCCTTTGAAAGAGCTGAGAAGCAGGCTGTGGTCACAGACAGAGGTGATTTCTAATGCCTTTTGTGGCTCCTGGGCAGCTATTGGGTGCACATCTTGCTAGTGCACTTTTGATAGAGGGCATGTGTCATGTCCACAGTAGCTAGCTCCTGAGGTCAGTGCTGTTAACCCTGTAAAAGGAGCTTGAGTGGTGTGTGCATTTCAGGAGAGGGAAATTATATAGGAAAGACAGAAAGAGAGCAGCTGGACACCTATCATGAGAAGCACAGATGAGAAATTAAAGGCTAGAGCAAAGGTGTATAAAGATTTCTAAGAAGACCTAGAGAAGAAACAGTGAACAGGGAGAAGGAGAGCAGTCAGTAGACATCTCTGCAAGTCACATGGCTTCCACAAGCTTCACACATGCTAGACAAATGCCCTGCCACTGAGCCACAACTCAGCCCTTGGGCTTTTGTTTTCTCTTTAGATAGGGTTAGTGAAGGCATCCTGAGAGGAATTCACAGTTGCTATACAATGAATTCTTGACTGCATTCTTCTTCCCTGCCCCCTTTCATTTGTCTACCCCTCTCCTCTTGGTCTCAGCACCCCCTCTTGGATGTACCTGTTTCCTGGTGTTGATTTTGTTGGACTTTGACCTAGTCTTTCTAAAAGATTGTGTTCAGTGAACTCATTTGTAACCACTTGCACGTGGCCCGTCCCAACAGTAATAACTTCGAGATTTACAGGTCCATTCTATCTACCACAAGTGAGGGAAAACACGCAACTTTTGTTTCTCTGGGTCTGAATTTATGAATCATAAAGGATATGGAAGGCAAATTTTAAATCTCTCACAACTATATTACTCAAATATACTGTTACTAACATTTGGAAATATTTTTCCATATGGCCTTTATATAAATTCCAGATTATTAAGTATGGGAGTTGTATTGAATTTTTACCTCTTTTTCCCCCTCACATAACATTATGTAATGAAAAATTTCTCCATTTTCCAAAATGTATTTAAAGCCTGGCTGAAAAGATATTTTATTTTAAAATCAGACCTATATTTTCACTTTTGAAGAAGATATGTATCTGGTTTCATGATGTAACTTCAAGAGCTCTTTCCTCAATGAGCTTATCTTGATTACTTTTTCATTTTACTTTGCTGGGTAATTCAGTGTATTTTATATATATATATATACATATATATATATGTATGTATATGTATATAGTCATTAACAGACATTCTGAGTCAGGTGCTGGTGGCTCATGCCTGTAATCCTATCTACTCAGGAGGCTGAGATCTAAGGATTACAGTTTGAAGCCAGCATAGGCAGGAGAGTCCCATGAGAGAATTTTGCCTCTAAGTAGCCACTCAAAAACCAGAAATAAAGCTGTGGTTCTAAGGGGTAGTACGCTAGCCTTAGGCAAAATAGCTCAGAAACAGCATCCAGGCCCTGAGTTCAAGCTCCACAAAAGACAAAAGAAAGAAAGAAAGAAAAAGCCACAGCCATTGTGTTCTCAAATGATTGACCACATTAGTCACTTCAATTCAAATTATACTTGTTGATACAGAATTAAGAATCATGGCTGGCATGATGGCTCACATCTGTAACCCCAGCTACTTGGGAGGCTTAAGCAAGATAATTTCAGACAGGAGGACCCAATCTCAACTAATAAAAAGACAGGGTATGGTAGTATGTGCCACTCATCCCACTGTATAGAAAATATAAATAAAAGAATCGTGGTTCAGGGCTGGGAAGGTGGCTCAGTGGTAGAGCGCTTGCCTTGCATGCCAGAGGCCCTGGGTTCAATTCCTCAGCACCACATAAGAAAAAAGAAAAAAGCTGGAAGTGGCGCTGTGGCTCAAGTGGTAGAGCGCTAGCCTTGAGCTGAAGAGCTGAGGGACAGCGCCCAGGCCCAGAGTTCAGGCCCCACGACCGGACCCAAAAAAAAAAAAAAGAATCGTGGTTCATGCCGGTCCTGGGGAAAAGAACTATTTGAAAAGTAATGAAAGCAAAAAGTGTTGAGGTTGTGATTCAGGTAGCAAGAGTGCAGCAAGCATGCAGCCCTAAGTTTAAATCCCAGCACCCCCAAAAGAAAAAAAAATCAAAGCCATGGCATGAGAGGCTTCCCTAAGTCAGAGAGATTCTAAGGTGATGTTCTGCAGGGCCCTTGGAAATGAGCAAATCCAGTGCTGACAGGTGACAGGGCCAGGAGTGGAGCTGGCATTGGTGCAGGCATGTCTTGTGGCCACCTAGCTATTCACTCTGTGACTGGCTCTTCCTCAGGAGACTCTCCTCAGCTCTGTCGTCTAAGAACTAAAGCATTCCGTATCATGCCCGCTGTGATCTTCCTCAAGAGGGGAGGATACGAATATAATTCCAACTGGTTGTTTGATTATCTTTTCTAACTGCTACTTCACTTGATTTGTGGTAGGACTGACAAATGGATAAGCCACCTAAACCAATTTGTTTTCAAGAACTTAGAATAACACTCAGTCACTTTGTCACACAGAACCTGCAGGTTACCTCAGTTCCAAATAAACTCAATTTGTTCTTTACCCGGCAAATGTGACCCTATAGAACCACAAAAGTATCTATTTTATGTAAAGTGTTATTTTTGCTTGTCTTTCTTACCAGATATCTCTATGCCCTTGGGCAGAAGGTTTGGAAAAGATGGAAAAAACGTTACTTTGTTCTTGTCCAGGTCAGTCACTTCTTTTTCTTCCTGTTTCTTCTTTTTCTTCACTCAAAGACAATGATTCTCAAATATATATTTGTCTGGGTTACATTGATCAAGTTCCCATAGTTGAAATGGAAATGACATAATTTCAAATACTTTATCTTAAAAATAAAACATTTTACTTCAAATAAACTAAACTTTACATACTAAATAAACATGTTATTTGAAATACCTGTTCACTCCTGGAAACCAATTAGTGAAGCGATTATTGTTTTTTGGCTTTTGTATCTTTCTCTACATGGTGTGGTGCAATAGAATGTAGCTCTGTTTTTTTCTCCTGTTGGCTTTTGTGTTCACCCTTTTACAAAATCAGATGAAATGTAGTCTCTGGAAAGCTCCACTCAACACTCATGAGAGAATAAGTGTGAAAAAGGCAAAAAACCTTCTGAATATTGTGGTAAAATAGTTTTGACCTCGAAGACCCACTGAAAGGATTGTAGATCCTGAGACAATTCCATGCACACAGCAGCAGCATCCTGATATTCCATAACTAGATATTATCCATTTAATTCCTCATTTGGACAGATATGCCATATTACTTATTCACAGAAATATGTTTTTAAATTAACTTGACAGCTATTTGTTAGGGACTGAATTTTGCACCTGAGAAGCTTATTGGAATATATGTTTGGAGAACTTGTTAAAATTGCACATAAGCTTTGATCCTAAATTATACTCATTCAGTTAAAATATATATGTTTGAAACATAATGCTCTAAGCATTAGTCATTCTATGCCAAGGTGGAAATACAGAAACAGAGTCTCACTCTTGGAATTCTTAACACAACACAGTCTGTAGAATCTCATTGATTCCTACTACACATTAAGCAAGCTTAACTGGGCTGGTCAGAAATGACATGGTGAAATGTCCGGAAAGGGATGCTAACATTTGCTATCTTCCAGAGATGTAGCCATCCATCAATTCTTGGATAAAATTACTTTATTGATGTCTCATAATAACATGGCATCTTCATGAAAAGTGTAAAATTTCAGTCAAAAATAATTTTGTCAACATGGCAGAGAGACAGTCTATTTTTTCTTCACTAACAATCAAAAGTATATGCACAGAAAGAGAGAGAGAGATCATTTATGGATATAAAGTTTTAAGCTTTAAGTCAAGTTACCCTGTTCAAAGTTCTCAGTGATCTGCCTTCCAAATCCTATACCCACAAGAATTTGACACAAGAATTTAAATGCATTTACAGAGCAATTTAATTGTTATTTTTCTGGTTATTTTAATTCCTATCTTGTTTATTTTAGTCCTTTCTTGGTTTGACAAATTTGCGCTAGTGATAATGTCTTTGTCAGATCCTTGTGAGCCATTTGACTGATTTTTTTATAGAAGCAAAATCTTAATTTTTAGTTAATTTCATGCATTTAGTAGAGAATGTTACTGGGTGAAACTAGTTTGGGAGCAGACTTAGCTAATTCATAGTAAACAGAGTTTAGTAGTGGAGGTTGTGTGTGTGTGTGTGTGTGTGTGTGTGTGTGTGTGTGTGTGTGTGTGTGTGTGTGTGTGTGTGTTAGGTTAATCCAGTAACCATAAATGTTTAAAAGATCATTTGAATTTATCACTATGTTTTAAATATCTTAATAGAGAGCCTAAGTCTGCAAAACTTGCAAAATATCTGTGGGCTGAAAAAATTCTAATATATGGATTGTTTTCAGTATTGATAACAATCTGATAACTGAAAGATAGGTTTCTTAGACCAGTATTGAGAGGTTATAGGGAATTTTGTGCTTTTTACCAGGTAAGATTTAAGGTCATCTTTGCTCCTTATCTTCCTTTCAAGCACATGATCTCAAAAGTCAAAAGTTACAGCACCAACAGGAATACTTTGATTATCACTCACTAGAGTTTAGAAATGACAGAAGGAATTAGAGTACATTGAGATCACAAATTGATCTGTCTTTAGGGAAGATTAACTGTGAAACCGGAAAATCTGCAGATAACTAAAATATGAATTTGACATTTTAAAAGGGAAAATCCAATTTAAATCAAAGTAGGTGGTAAGCCCATATGCTCCATAATTGAAATTTAGGGGAAAAAATACCACCATGAGCATAACAAATTTGGATTTATTCTATGTATAACATTATCTTTAAAGTCATATCAATATGTATTACACACAATATAGGTGCATATGTAGACTCCTAGTCACACAGAGAACCCCATATTCAAAACCCCAAAGGTTTGGAAATATACATGCCAACACTGACAACTTGTTGAAGTTTCAAACACAATTGAATCTTCTTTTTCAATTCCAACTGTAATGGAAAGACAAATTGAATGCTTTTACTTCAAAATCAAGATGGATATATATGGAGATTCAATGAGAATGACCTATTGGGAGGAATCGGGTAGTTTTTATTAGTATTTTTAAAGACAGCTCTTGTTCTATCCACACACAGCTTGTAGGTCCATACCTGCAGGCTGCATTATTGAAAGGTGAAGGAGTCATTATTCCTAGGGAGGACAGTATGCCCCGCTGTGTCTGCTGCTGCCATCGGCAGAATGGTGCTCTGGTGATAATGTGAATCTCATCACCACTTGTGAGTGTGGATTATATGAGCGATATAACTGGAGACCCAGACATCAGCCAGGAATTTATAGTCATAAAAATTGACTGAGAGTCCAGTTTGGCCAGCTGCAAAGTCATTGTTCGAAGTGAACACTCGAGGAGCCTCTGAGGTGAAAAGACTTTCCCAAGACTCATATAAACATTGGAATTGGAGGCACAAATGTCTATTTGAATTAGAGTCAAAATATGAGAAAGTAAATCATTTGTTCAAGTTAGGTACTTGTGGCGTTTCCTAATAAGATTAGTTTTGCATTCTCATTTAGGGTCTTTACAGTTATAATAATAAATAAGTTAATATTTTCTAAGAGACCATATTTTTAATGAACATAAATTTTGGGTTAAATCAAACTAGAACAGTCATTTTTTAAAAGCATACTGGAAGTCTTAACAAAATTATACTTACCCAGATTTTTTTCATATTAAGTTTAGGTAGTTGAGACTTAGTATCATTGGTATAAAAGATGTATGAAACTAGTCATTATAATAAAAGTATTTGGTAGCTTTAAATTTTTATTTATGGTTTAACCAAATGTAATGATCTCTTCTGTATTCTGCTAACACCTATTCAAATTACTATATATATATATATATATATATATATATATATATGTCAAGTATTATATATTCTGCAATATAGCCAAAAATCTTTTTATTATTATATTTTTATTATCTTAAGCAGTTGTACAAAGGAGTTCCCATTCAACAAATCAGCTTATGAGTGCAATGCAGCTTGATCAATGCTCCCTCTTTCATTTTCCCTATCTCTTCCAACCCAACCCATCCCCCAACCCAACCTACCCTTTCAATTTTCCTAGTTTCAGAGGAAAATTAAATACTACGACTGCAAAAATTCTGAAGCACTTAAACAGTAACATAATCATTTCTACCTGTAACCTGGTATTTTTTAAGCAATTACTTTGTGGCACACATTTATGTAAAGCATTTTTAAAGCAGGACTTATTTAACACTGTTTAACCATAAGTGTTATTGTGATCCTCCTTGAACAACTAAGAATTATATAATTTTCCTAGGATTCATTTACCATAGGTTAGAGTCAAGCCAATCCAGCTCTGTTGACTATAGACGCAAAGCTCTTATTTCCTCTTGACTGATTAATGTGAACACTACCATGAAGAAAGCCACACAGATGAATAATCGCTGTGGATCATTCAGATCATAACATGCAAAGCAATGTTGCTACATTAGAGAAATAGCCAGGGAGTGATGGCATGAAGAGCCCTCTGCTCAAGATGGCCACTTCCTGCATGACATGCCTAGAAACTGAAGTAGTATGTTGTTTTGGCCCTGTATCAAGTGTTCCCTGCTTGTTGTCAGTGTGTCAGAATCATGACTTGAAGTTGGTACAAACAACAGCAGGCTCTCAAGACAAAATGTTAATTACATATCAGCTGAGTTGGCACAGGATGTAAACAGTCAGCCATGCCACTGCCACTGAGTGATCTGTGCATGCTGCAGACATATGAGCGCTGTTAGCAAGATGCCCTCAGGATTTGCCTTGAACATAAAGGAATGGCTGCCTCTGCCTTATTGGTTTCTGAAAGTTCCAGCACTCGTGCAGGTCCATTGAGGCAGAGCAGACTCCTGTGTCACTATACCATTTCCTGCATGCAGAATGTGAAGTCAGTTTATAGGGATCAAGGTTAGTTTGGGACATCAGCTGATGTTTGTTCTGAACAGTAGGATAGTAGGAAGTAAATAAACACACTTCTGTCACATCAAGAAAATAATATGATTTGCATTTTTCTTATGGCCAGAGATATTGAGCATTTCTTCAGGTATCGGCCATTTTTATTTCCTCTCCAAAGAAATCTCTAATGGGGTGGTTCTTTCTTTGAGGATTTGCTTTTGAGGGGTTTAATTCCTGGAGCTCTAAATATATTTTTGATATAAGGCCCTTGTCTGTTGTATGGCTAGTGAAGATGTCCCAATCTGTGGGCTTTCTATTGATCTTGCTAGCTATGAGTTTTGCCACGCAGAAGCTGTTTGTCTAGCCTTTCTTTGATTTCTTGTGATTCTGGATTTTTATTTAGGAAGTTTCAACCTGTGCCAAGGAGCCCTAGTGTTTCCCCTAACCCTTCCTGTAATATTTTCAAGGTGTCTGCTCTTACCTTGAAGTCTTTGATCCATTTGGAATTGATTCTGGTGTAGGGTGATATATAACAAATCTAACTTTTCTATACGTGTATAGCCAATTCTGCCAGCACCATTTGTTGAAATATATCTGTACCCCCGTCTGTACATCACCTTTACAATAAAATAAAATAAAAATCTTAAAAAAAGAAAATCACATGACAGTGGCTTTGTATCTATATGTTTTAATTTGATTAGTGTAGTCTATTATCAAGCCATACAGTTTTATAGT